ACACGACTGTATGCCACTGCTAACAGGACAATGACAGATTCACAAATACACACACACACATGTAAACAGACAGACATTTTAACTCATTAACAACAGAGCAACAGCGCAACAGCGCAGCAGCAGCCAAGGCTTGACTTACAGCAGCGAAGCATCAGTAGCAGCGTACGAATCCAATCAGCACACGAACCACAGACACTACAAAGCGCAGTAAGAAAGAAAAACTTGCGCAAAAAAAACAAGCAAGAAAAACAAAAAGTGCAGCAGCCTCTCTGCCAACGTCAACGCTGTTGACCTGCTGCAGCATGAGAGCATTGCGACTCTTTCTGTCGTCGTCGTCGTTGTTGTTGTTGTCGCCTGTTAAATTGGATGCTGTCGACGTTCTTTCTTGTGTTTCTTGTTGTTGTCTGTCTCTCGTCTGTCGCACGTTGCCTTCGTTGCGTCGTCTCCTACAACAATAAAACTCTCTTGTGTGGGGGCCGCCAACGCTGCCGTTGCCATCACCGCGGCGACTTGTGCCATTGTCTTCTTCTTTCAATAAAATGCGTCGTTTCTGGCAAAGTTAAATTTCATTGAGATCTGCCTGTCGGCGATTGCTACGCTTCTGCTTTGGGGGGTCGTGCTGCTGTTGACGCATAACCCCATGGACACCGAAAACGGACAGAACGTTAAGTGGCGCAAGATAGACTTTTATATACCCTGAAAAGTTGTTCTTTTTACACATTGGAATTTCTTTTAATTCAATATGATATTTATTTTGAAAATTGATCAGCGTTCATTACTTGCATTACAAATAATTTGTGAGAAGCACAGAGCAACAATACCTCCTTCTTTGTGTTATAACATACATTGGACCAAACAAGTATACTCTTTCACCCTTCGAGAACAGGGTATGAAAAAGCTGCCAGCCAGCAGCTGCCAATTTATGGCTAAAGAGGAGGAGTTGTCGGCGTCGCAACAAAATTCAACGAATTTGCTGCGCTTCGCCAGAAAACAAAAAAAATAAAATAAAATTTGCATTGAACAGCAATGGCAGCGGCGTTGGTGGGTCGGGTCGTGCCTTGGCGGTGCCTTTGTCATTGGCGATGGCAGAGCCTAAAAAGCAGAAGAGAGAGAGAAAAAACAGAAACCAGCAGAATTTTTTATCTGCAGGCTGCTAGTTTTTTCTTTTTGCTGTTGTTGTTATTGCTGCTTAGAAACGCAGGTAAAAACAGCGAGGCGAACATGTCGTGCCTGTCGTGGTGTTGTTGTTGGCTACGCTTTGTTCTGTTTTATGGCTTGTGTTTTGTGCTGGACTTTAAAGTTTTTTGTTTTATTTTGCGTGTCATGCTCTTTGGCATTGTTGCGGTTGTTGTTGTTGTTCCGTAGCTGTTGGGTACCATTGAACTCTGCTGCTGCGCTGCTGCAACCCCCAACAATTTGGAATGCATGGAATTGAAACTGAGGCCCAGAGCTCCTGAAGCGCTGACACTGCAATTATTGGTTGTTTTTGTTTGCTTAGCGAACGTTTCGTTGCCATCGTTTTAGAATTTTGTTGCTATTTTTCTGCATTGGAAATTTCGACAATGAGGAAATTGCCGTTACTTGCATATTGCATTTGATATGCATAGAGCTTAGTTGCCATATATGTATGTATGTATGTATTTATGTTTGATAGCTTTTGTGTGCTGTCGTTGTAGGACCGATAATAAAACAAAGAAAAATTGCCGCTCTGATATAAATTAATATGTCAAAGAACATTCAAATAAATATACAAGAATTTGTGCACTAAACGACAAACGAACTAAAGTAACTAAAAGAACGATTAATTCACTCCTCGGAAACGATTTCCAAGTTCTAGTGTCTGTATGTATTTTGAAAATCTTTGAAATCATGGTAGCTGCTGTTGTTGCTGATGTTATTGTTGTTTCGGTTAGGGCGTGCGTCCCATTCCATTATTAAGTTAATGCGCTGTTCCTTTTCTCTTTCACACTTTAAACTTTATATATGATGTTATTCCTTCTGTTGCCCACCACCGCCACACTCTCCAGCCATGAAATTTATAATCTTGTACAAATTGTTTTGCATTAGTAATGCTTGCGCTATTTGTTCCACTTCTCACATGGCATGCCGCTCACCGCTCTGTACTTAATTATTACGGTGCCAGCTAAACAGCCACACCCGCGCACAGCCACCCCTCTTCTTGGGTCGTGCGAGTAGTTGCATTGCGCCTGTTGGCTGATTATTAGCTATTTTTAAATTATTTTACAAGCACTCTGGAATTCTTCTTACATACATACTTACATACTTACATACTTACTTACTACTTATGTACATATGTTCATACCCAATCCCAGAGAGATCGACCCTCACCACACAATTCGTATGCAAAAGAAAAACATATGGCGTAGACATCGGGCCGACACCCAATCCAAATGCACAATGAGTCGAACAGTAGACAAGCGATCATTATATTTCCATCATATGTATGTATATCACATCCAACTATGGTTTTTATTATCCATGGTTGCTACTCACTCTTTAATAAATATTAATAATTGTTGTTGTTGTTGTATGCCATCAGAGCACAAAATTTGCTTGCTAATCTTATCAGCGAACCCTCACAGCCACTATCAATTAATATATATGTAGGTACATATTTTTATTTTGGATATTTTGCTGTCACAGTCGAAGCTCATATATTGCTTGTGCTTATTAATGGTTCTTGTTATTATCGTTGTTGTTATTGTTGCTATTGTTGTTATTGTGATGACAGTTCTTTGCTATTCTTATATTATTAACTAACCTGTTTGGGAAATGCGCACAAAATCTACAATGAGTCAGTTTTTTTTGGGTGGTCTGACCAAACCAATTTCAACATAAATTTTTGTTTAAAAAAAATAAAAAGCTTCTTCTAATATTATGAAGTCACGCTTTAAATGTCGATAAGAAGAATGCACAACGGTACAAGTGATCGCGTTAGCCAAAATTTGCAACAGTTGGCAAATGTGCATGAATTCGAGTTAGTGCCAAATGAGCGGGCGGGCCACATAAAACGCACCAACATGCAAGCAACATAATAAAGTGCAACAAAAAACATGCCAACATGATGTTGCAAAATAAACATGCACATGTTTTTATATACAAATAACATATAATGTGTACAGACATATGTATGTAGGTACGTGATGTTTGTATGTACATATGTATGTATTCATGTATGTTGTGATTTATGTTATGCCCGTCGTCTGGCTTTTTTTTTACCTACTATGGGCATGTGTACAGAAAATTTTCTGATGTGCATTTTGTTTGTCTTTCTATTGCTGTTCGTTCTTTTTGTTGTCATTGCTAGTATTTTCCAGCGGCGACTAACAAACAAATCAAGCAACAGAAATGATAACAATGCAACATACATACATACGCAAATATGTATGCTGCCGCATGCCTCGAAAGTTCTGCGGCGTCATCATCAGCACCACCCAAACAGCCCTACACACACATACTCATTCAGATTTATATGTATTTACATACATACATACATGAATGCATACATACAAATATACACATGTATGTACATAAGTGAGAATGCCGCCAACATTTGTTGTTGCTTTTATTTTGCGGTCTCATCGGTCGTTGCCCAAAATTGGGAAACATGCGCACACGCACGTGTGTTATCGGTTTATCGTTAGGCGCTTCCTGTTTCACGCTCTCGCGCTCTCTAAATCTTTTCCGTTCCGTTCTCTCTGTGAATGCGCAACCTGTAGCGCGCGAAAAAATATGGCTATGAAAAATTGTTGCTTTGATGCTGCTGCCACTGCCGTTGCTTCCAGTGTTGCCAATTATTTAGTGTAAAAAAAAGATAGGCTAGCAGCTTAAATAAGCTAGAAATAGCTAAACCAGTTATACAGATGAAGTGCTGTGTTTTTTTTATTATTAAATTAGCCTCAATACAGAAACAAAGCTTTTCAACTTTGCAAACTTTTTTGGAGTAAGAGAAGCCTGTTTCAATTAATCTGCTATTCTTGAAAGATTTATTATTAAAATGTATTGTACAACCTAATGACAATAATATAATAATTTTCAACATTTATGTATGCATTTCGCAAATGTTCGTTGAAAAAGTCCAGAACTGGAAAATAACCAACTTGACATCACTGATTGCTTTCCTGGGCGGTTGTTCTGAGTGGTGGGTGACTGGCCGCCGCCATTTTGCTTTAAGGGCTGCAATTTTTGTGTGCTTTCGTTTCTGTTGTTTTGGTTGTGCGACCGGCCCGGCATTCAACAGTTTCGGCTTTTGCGCTCTTCACTATGAGTGTGTGTTGTTTGCTAACTGTAAATAGGAAATTTGTGGCGAACTTATTGATTTTTCCCCAACTGAATATACGCCCCTGCCTCCTCCCTGCTGTCTTTCTCTCTCTCTCTCTCTCGCTCTGTGTCTTTATTTCTCTTCTGCCTGCCGTCCCGGTAATTGCAGGTAATATTGTTTTATGCCGCCTTCATTTTCTCAGACAGACGTTACGGAACGGAACAGACTTGTCAGCGTTGCATTTTTCGTTGTCCACCCACCACAAGCAACAAGAACGGCAGCAACAGCAACAACAACAATAATACTGCGCTGCAAATGGACAGGACATTGCCTGCTGTTCTATGCTCTCTGCGGCTCCTTTTCTCTGTCGATGCTGACGTCGCTGCCGTGGTGTTGCCGTTCGGAGCTTTACCCGGGTCGCTGCATAATGCGCATAGTTAGTTTTGCAGGGAGCTGCGTCGCGTACGCGTCGCATTTTCCAGGACATTCTTTGTTAGTCTCTCCGTGTGCGTAATTTGAATTTATAGCTATCTCGCACGTCACGCGCGCCAAGGCAAAATTAATTACAAGAAGTGCATAAACACAATTGTTGCCAAATGTTCCATTTTACAGGGAATATACAAATAATTTCATAAGTAAAAGTAATCAGTGCATTAATATTACTGATATTTTGTGAAAATATTACTAAATAACCGTCCTCTTTCGTTTCTGATTGTAGTGTTTTTTCGCTATCGTGGAGCACCCAAAAGTATGCTTTACTTGTTACATGTGAGCAACAGAAGTAGGCGCAACAGCATAGCAGAGACAACAACCACAACGACGACGAGACAACAGCAGCAAATTTAAATTAATTGCAAAATTGGCTGCGCAAATTGATATCAAGCAGGAGATAATAAAATAAAAACAGGAATAAGAGGAAATAGTGGAAGTGGAAGTGGAAGAAGGCGGCGGCAGTAAAAATACGAATAATAAAACAAATATAATACTTCAAAGGTAAGTCTGCGCATACTTTTCAGTGTGTGTGTGTGTGTGTGTATGTGTGTTTGTGTGTATGTGTGTTTGTGTATGTGTGCATGATAAATGTAAAGCTAGTCTAGACAGAGTTGCACAGACCGCTGCCCCCCAATTGTTATGCGCTGTGTTGCCGCTTCACTGGGCGCTGTTATTTGGGGTTGATTTCTCGTGAGTAAGTGAGTTTTTGGCGTTTTTGCTTTCACTTCAATTTGCGCCCCGTTTTTTGTTGACGGAAATGGCTGGAACTCTGGCGAAACTTCTTTCGCTACCGCCCGACCAACTGACAGACCGACTCCCTCCAGAATTTTTGTTTACTTTGCTATTCATTGAGGGTTGTGCAACCCCTACATAACGTCTATCACCTCTCTCTCCCCCCCTAGCCCGCTCGCTCTCACTCTCGCGCTACCTTTGCTTTGCTAGCCGGCAAGCAGTTGTCCGGGGAAACAACAACAACAATAACAACGCACTTCGGTGCGTGCGTGCGTTTATTGCACTCTATGTTGATGGCTGGCTGTAATGGAGGGGTGGCAGTGGGGGACTCTGGCTGCCTGGTGGGGTACAGCTTCGCGTAAGAAATTAGAATTCTGTTAAAAAGCACTTTGTTGCCATTTTGTTGGCAGGCGGCAGTTGTTGTAGAATAGTTTTATTTAAGCAAGGGATAAGTTGAGGGTGCGAGGAGCTCGACGTCATTTAATAAACAGGTCACAGCTGCGTAGGGAACACAGACGATGCCAACACAGACTGACTGGAGTAGGCAATTAGCTAGAAATTATGATAACAAGGAAAAAGTTTGTGCTACTTCGCTTAATGGATGGGACGGCTGGTGGGAGGGGATATTAGGTAGGCGGGATTGAAACCGCGTCATGGGAACCACTAAGCGGTTAAGAAACAAAATGCGGCATGCCGGTGAGTCATTGAACCAGAACTTAAAAGAAAATCCTGTTGTATGGGCAAAAGCATGAGTCAGGCTACAAAGGGACTCCCCTCTTAGTCATGTACTTTATATTTTCGCCCTAATCTAACGCCCAGAGGGGACCTTAACTGAATTTTGTGATTTAGCCTGGCAAAAACAATTCCCAATAAGTGGGAATCGGTGGTTTGGGAATGTACTTGTATTACTTTTCATTGCAGAGGTGAAAATATGTGGCATGAGATGGGGTCATCTGACGAATAATTTATCTAACACAAACGAGCTGTTTGAGGCTTGATGCAAAATTTTTGTTTTAGACAGTGGGGTTGAACTTCAATTCGTATGGTTTACCACACACTAACTAAGAACTAAGAGCCCGTTTCTCAACTAGCACTTTCGCAGGGCATTGATACCCGTTGAGTGGAGTATGTGCTCCTAAGGAGCGAGGGTGGCTTTGGACCATCAACCCAAACGAGGCAGTGAATCCAACTCGAATGCGGTTCAGGACCTTAAAGTAAAAGCAAGACATGATTCCTTTAAAAAGGATGGAAACCACGGAGGACTGCTTGAAGCTTCTCTTCTTGCCCATAGCTTTTAAAGCAGTCCCTTAATGAAGGTCCCTAACGATGTACAGGAGTGGCCTTGCCTTTGCACTTTGCATCGCAAGTGGAAGAAAATGTTATTCTGTTAGCCACTTCTTGTTTGCCTCCCCGTCCTGCTGCTTTCCATATGAGGCTACCTTTTTCGAAAGCAAAAACTAGCGATGTAAAGGAATGGCGCTTCCTGTATTCATTTAGTTGCAATTCTCATTTTATAGCATTAGGAAATATTACGTGATTAAATGGGCGAAACGTTCGAACCAAGATTGTTTAAATGATTTACATAAAATGTATGTTTAATAAAACATTTTTTTTCATATCCCGCCATTAAAGCTATTATTTATCTTACTTTTTCAGCTGTCCAGTGACAATTCAACGACTTACGACTAATCACAACAGGTCAGAACGATGGCGTCCTCGCCGACACCATCACTGGACTCGATGCGCGGCGCCAATTCCATAGAATCGTACGAGCATGGCGGCTATCTCTCTGACTCGCCCCTAACATTGAGCGGCTCTTCTCCACCGGCCAGCGATTCGGCCATATGCAGTGACGAATATACGGGAGGGAGTAGCGCCAAGACCTCCAATGTGACGGTTATCAATGCACATTTGTCCATTTCGGCATCGGTGTCATCCTCCTCATCGGCCAGCTCATCGTCCTGCTCCTCCAGTTCATCATCATCGAGTGCATCCTCAACCTCATCAACCAGCGGCCTCAGTGGCTGCGGCAGCACCAGCAGCAGCGTCATCAGCACCAACAACACCACCGTGGTGGGACCCGGCGTCATTGGCAGCAATCTGCAAGGCAACAGCAATAATGTCAACAATAACAGCAATGCGGGCAACAATGTGAGTAGCCTGGTCGTGGGTGCGGGCAAAGGCAGCAACAACAACAGCAACAGCAGCACAATCGGCAGCTCAAACAACAGCAATGGCAGCAACAACAACGCCATCGTTGCACGCTGCACCGCCTGCAAGAGTAAGTGCAGCGATGCGGTCGCCAAATGCTTCGACTGCCTGAGCTTTCTGTGCGCCAACTGTGTGACTGCCCACGAATTTATGCACTGCTTCAACGGCCACAACGTGTGTCGGATCAAGGGTGGCTTCGATGCCAGCACGCCGCCCAACAGCAGCTGCTCGCCCAACAATGCCACAGTCAACGGCAACAGCAATCAGCACAATAATCCAGCCTCTAGCGACTTCAAATATGCCAGTTCGCTGACCATGATGCTGCAGCAACAACAACAGCAGGCACAGCATGAACAGCAGCAGCAACAACAGATGCCGATGTCGCAGCTCTCGAAGATCGTGCTTGCCGCAGCCGCCGCGTCCAATCCCCAGGAGCAGCAGCAACAACAACATGACTCGCTTTATGTGTCGATGCATCCGCAACTGCAGCAAAACACAGCTGTAGGAGGAGGATCGCAGGTTACAGCAAATGGTACATCCTCGGCATCGGCGGTGGCTGCTTCCGGGGGTGGTGTTCAACGTCAGCTCTTCTGTCCACGCCACAAGCACGAGCTCTTGAAATTCAGCTGCCGCACCTGCTGCACCCTGGTCTGCAAGGAGTGCATCGTGCAGGAGCATTCCACAGGTCACGAGCTGGAGAATGTGCAGTCGCCACCACCAATGACAAGCGCACCCATAGCCACCGGGAACGAGATGGCGCTGCAAACACTGCTCGCCGATATGCGCGGCAAGATCGGAGAGATTGTGGCCATTGCTGGCAACTCGGAGCAGAGCGTTAATAAGATCAAGCAGCAGTACCAAAAGGCCCACAATGAGCTCAATGAGACGCATCAGTTCTTTGCGTCGATGCTCGACGAACGTAAGTGTGAGCTGCTCAAGGAGCTCGAAGCGCTCTACACGGCCAAGGTGAGCAGCAATGCGGCCTGGCTGCAGCGCTCCAAGGAGCTTATTGACAAGGGTCTGGCCATGTGCGAGGCTGTTGAGCGTGCGCCGATACCGCAATCCCCCCTACTCGGCGAAGCATTGCTGCTCCGCAAAACGCTGGAACAGCAACTGCACACCGCTGTGCAGGACATGCAGCTGCCCTTCGAAATGGAGTTCATGTCCAACTATCAGTCCATACAGGCCGGTGTTCGCAACACTTTCGGCTATGTGCGTGCCAGCAGTGCGGACGGAGGTCTCAATGTCGGTCATGTTGGCAGCAAGCAACCACCCATTGCCCGTCCTACACAGAGCGCCAGCAACAGCAGCGCCAGCAGTGTGGGCAGCCATCATCAGCTGCACCAGCATCAGCAGCAACAAGCCTTAGGGGCTTCACATCATCAGCCGTTGCACGGACTGGGCGGCTTGGGGTTGAGTGCCACCAGCTTGTTGGACAACAGCAACGCCTATGTGAATGGAGGTGGTAACGGCTCCTCCCTGATGCTGGGCGGCCGGGAGCCACACTTTAGTGAGCTGTTGCCCAAGCAGCGCTATAATGGCGCCAACAGCGCGCTCTCCCATTACAATTCGTACGAGAAATGGAGCAATGGAGGCAGCGACAATCTCTTTCCCTCATCCACCAGCGCTGGAGGAGCGGCGGGCAGCGGCAGCAACGATGTTGTCAATGCCTTCGCCACACAATTGTCCACTCTATCGGCTGCCTCTTCGGCAGCTGCGGCCGCCGCTGCCGCCGCCAGTGCTAGCAATGGCAATAACGGTGTCGTTAACATCAACAATTGCCAAACCGTCAGCTCTGAATCGTTGCTAGACTTGACCAACAAGCTGCTCTCGGCCTCCATCTATCCGCCCAAGTCGCAGATCAAGCGACAGAAAATGATTTATCACTGCAAGTTCGGGGAGTTTGGCGTCATGGAGGGCCAATTCACGGAGCCCAGTGGTGTGGCCGTCAATGCCCAGAACGATATCATAGTGGCGGACACGAATAATCATCGCATACAGATCTTCGACAAGGAGGGACGTTTCAAGTTTCAGTTCGGAGAGTGCGGCAAACGAGACTCTCAACTGCTCTATCCGAATCGTGTGGCTGTCGTACGCAACTCTGGCGATATTATTGTGACCGAACGCTCGCCGACGCACCAGATACAGATCTACAATCAATACGGACAGTTTGTGCGCAAATTCGGAGCCACCATACTGCAGCATCCGAGGGGCGTGACGGTGGACAACAAGGGACGCATCATTGTGGTGGAGTGCAAGGTGATGCGTGTGATTATCTTCGATCAGAACGGGAATGTGCTGCACAAGTTCGGATGCTCGAAGCATCTGGAGTTCCCCAATGGTGTGGTCGTCAACGACAAACAGGAGATCTTCATTAGCGACAATCGGGCGCACTGCGTCAAGGTCTTCAACTATGAGGGACAGTATTTACGACAAATTGGCGGCGAGGGCATTACCAATTATCCGATCGGTGTCGGCATCAATTCGAATGGCGAGATCCTGATTGCGGACAACCACAATAACTTCAACTTGACCATATTCACACAGGACGGACAGCTGATATCGGCGCTCGAGTCAAAGGTTAAGCATGCTCAGTGCTTCGATGTGGCTCTCATGGACGATGGCAGCGTAGTGCTGGCCAGCAAGGATTATCGACTCTATATCTATCGCTATGTGCAGCTGGCGCCTGTGGGTATGTAAGCAGAACAACCAGATGATCATCATAATGATGATGATATTGATTGATAATGATGATGATGATGAAGATGAAGAGCAGGACGCATTTAAAAAAGACTTGGAATATAAAACAACCAACTTCTCCGCTTACCCCCTATTCCCAACAACAAACACCCTAACCCCACCCACCCAAAACCCACATCTCTGACTCTAGACTGTATTACTCTCGCTCTAAGCTCTATAGTTATATAAAAATGATAACAGCAACAACAAAAAGCAGACAAAAACTATTTAGTCTCAACCATAATTGCTCTCTAGCGTTCTCTGACTCTCACACTGTAATGATAACTGTATGTCTCTCTCTCTCTGTCTCATTTAGCTTAGACACAAACCACTTTAGAGTTGTGGCGCGCGCTCTGTACGCACACACTGTTGCATTAATTATTTGATTACTTTTTAAATTATTGTTGAATTTTGGTTTTATTTTTATATACACACCACTGTTAAGCTTAGTTTATTATTTGTGTAATTTGTACCTACATACCTATATTATTATTATCTCTTAATTTTTTTTGTTTTTCTTTCTAACTCGAATGGCGTGCACGCAGTGTCATTTGTCATGTGTTCGTTCCTGCGTCATGTGCTTGTGTTCGTGCGTGCGCGCCTTCAAATGGCATCCTAAAAAATACCAGAGAAATCCCTCCACTTTTTATGTTCGTTACAAAACAAAAAAAAAATACATATATAATTTAACAACAAAACAAAAACAACAAAAAACAAAAAAGTTTAAATTTAATAAATAATCAAACGAGGAAAATGAATTACTTTTAATTATATATGAAATGCTTGTGTTTCCAATTTTTTATATGTACACATATAAGTAATTAATTAATTTGTATTGATTGTAATTATTAAGTAATGCGCAAATTGTTTGTTATTACATATATTATTTTTGAATTGCATACAAATTTTATATATATATATAACTGTTTTTTATGTTTATAAATTATTTTTGATTACTGATTATTTATATACATACATATATTATGCATATTTTGATTATTATACGAATTGTTTGCTACTTTTTATATGACACCAACAACAACAACAAAAACAAGAGAAATGAAAAACAACAACAAGCAGAACCAATCAACCAATTTTTTTATACTCGCCTAGTTTTTATGTTTTATTAAATGAGGAGCATAAATAATAACTAATATTAACAATAATAATGCATACAGACACATTGCCGCATCCTTTTAATAATTTTTATTTATTTCACAAACAACACTAGGAATGTTGAAATTTTTGTTCTTGTCTTGTCTTAATTGTTGAAACTTTATTTGATTTATGTTTAAACAAAAAATTTGTCTTATTTAAGCAACTCTCTACAGACTTTATGCAAAGTATTGCAAAAACAAATTGTTGTTAAATTTAGCGACGCAAAAATATAAATTATTTGTTGGTAGTATTTGTAGTTTTTTTTGTATGCATAAAGAACACTGAATTTAATTACGTTAATTTTGAATTTAAATAAATAAATGGAAAAAAATCAAACAAACAAATATGCAGTCGGTGGCAATTAAAAAAAAGAATGTGCAGCAGAGAAATAAATTTAAATGAAATGCAAATTCAAATAAACTTAAATTAAACGTAACTAAAAGTTGGCAATCAGCGCAGAAGACTTAACAAATTTACTATTAATAATTATTATTACAAATACGCATAATTATAACTTTAAATATATACATACATACATGCATTAAACTTAACGAGCAACAACAAAAAAATCTCAATTTAAAATAAATCGAAAACAGCATTAAATTATTCATAAACCCTTGTGCTTGCGCTTAATTGAAAAGAGAAGCAGCAGAGAAATGCTTAATTACAAAAAAAAAAATTATTAAAAACAAAAAAATATTATAAAAAAGTTACATTTTCGAAAAGCAATGCCAAAATTTAAATGACTTTTGTTGAAGCGAAAACTGTTTTGTCTGGCTTTTTGTTAAATCAAATAATTTTAAATAATTGCATATAGACTTGAAACTAGCGAATAGTTTTAAACTTTGAAAATAAAACATAAAATTAAATGAATAGCCTGTGCCAGTCATAGTATTTTCTGCCCCCCCAAAAAGCTGTGCCAAAATCATATTTGCTGCGCAGCTATTTCGATCTACAAGTATATCGATCTTTTTAGTAGTAAGCGAACCATTTAAACGCAGCAAACTATATTGGCGCAGGAAGAATTCACTTAAATGTCTGTATTTTGAGTGTTTAAAAGCATATATAAATGTGTAAATCGCTAAACTATGGCTTATAGATATGTTAATTTTAAGCACAAGTGTTGTAAGTGTTTGCAAACAAATATACATTTACCAACACAAAAAAATACACACGAAAACACACACAAGAAACCAAGCAAGTGTAAGAACTTTTGAGACTACAAACGCAACAGTAACAGGAACAGCATTTAAAAAATGTTTTTATTATTTTATTTAACAACTTATTGTGTAATTTTAATTGTATTACTTTGTTCTTCTATGCAGGCTGCTATTAGACTTTCGTTCTGCAACACTGCTTATTTAATTTGTAATTTGTACTTTTTTCGTTCGTTCGTTCGTTTTGTTTTGCTTAAGTGAGATTATTAAATGTTAAGCATGCATTGCAAGCGTCTAATTTTTGATTTTGAATGCATCATAATTGTGCTTGTTGTAGACTACGATTAATGTTGATAGCTGATCGATCGATCGATCGATCTCTGATGATCGATAACTGACGATGTTAGCTGTAACGGTTAAACAAAGTATTGTAAATTTCTTGTGAGAAACTTTTTACTTGACACCAAAACTGAAAAACAACTGTTGAAATTTTTTTTATATAAATTGTTAAAACCACACACAAAATACACACATACACATAACAAACGAGAAACTGCTAATTGATGGTATTTATTATGGCCTAAAAAGGAGATATATATACATACATATATATCCATACATATATGTACTATTTAATTGTATTTATTATTAGCATTTTAACTTTGCACAAAAAAGAAGTGGAAACAAAAACAAACAGAGGATTTATAACAAATACCAGACAATTTCGACTTGTGCTTATTTGTTTTTTATGTTTACGATTACAACCTATTATTATTATCATTATTATTAAATTTTTAAATGTTACACAAAAAAAGGGACACAAATAACAATAATAATAAATGAAAACGAACACGAAAACGTAGCAGCAGCATTCACACATTTTTTAAACTCACATTTTAATTCATAGAAATTGTTGTAAAAACGTTCAACACACAAACACACACACCGCCACAAAGTTACAAGTAATTAAAGTTTTTATATATTTTGATAAAACAGAAAAAACCCCGTTTTGTGTTTATTATTATTTGCGCAATCAAATCCTCAAGCTGAACCATCAAATACCAAAACTCTTTGATGAATACAAACAAATTCATTTAAATTCTAAACAATTCTGAACATTCTGTCATAAAATCTGGAATTGAAAGGAATATCAAATTTTATGCAAATTATACTAGGATGGGGAATAAGTACAAATGTGCAGTAAAGCGTTTATGATCCATGGCAGGTACTATAAATTGAAAAGCTTCTGAGATAATTTCAAAGAGTTTTCTAATAAGGCCCTTCAACCAAATTATAAATCTATAGAATTCATTTATCTTAAGAATTATAATCAGCCGTTGGGTTTGTTTTGTCAGATAGGCGTTCATAAAATACTTTTTGAAACAATCTATATGAAAAATGTTGAAAATTAACAATAACTGGCCAGTTATGTTAGGCACTACGATTTCTACTATTTGGAGCTTCGTCCATATGTACTTCATTAAGTAATCGATAGTATATAACATCAGGATATAGTTCTTCATTTCCATCGGTTCGATCTAGCATTCTTGTTGGTTTCAGCACGCAGCACAATATTTTAAAAATTGCAAACATTGCAAATATTTGTTTCGAGGCCTTCACAGACAATGATCTCAAATTTTGTTTCCCTCAAACTCTGTTCAACTATTAACTATTTCCCACAAAAACAATTCCAATAGTCTTTAAATATCAGTTTTCATATCTTTTTGCGCAATCTTCCTCATTTTAACACTTATAGTATTTTGTTCTTTACTTTTTTACTACCAACTGAAAAGTAACCAAGCAAAATAATATAATAATACTAATTTACTTCTGTATTTTATTGTAGTAGTAAATAATAAAAAACAGAATATTACACACAAACACATACATCTCTATATATATATTAAACTTAAATAGAATTATTTAAATGTATGTTGATAAACAATTTGATGAATTGAGAATCTAATAGACTGTGCAAAATGAATATGTAACAATTTTTTAAATATGTATATATATTTATATATACTATATATTTAAAGAACGAAACAAAATGGGAAACGCATATTTATGTGTAAGCTAAATTCTAATTGTAAAACTGCGTTATCTAAATTACACATAAACATACATATATATATATATATATATACATACATGCATATACTTAGTAGGTTTACATATGTATTTTTCATACTATGAAACAAAGCAACAAATTACAATACATTTAAAACAAACAAACAAAACAACAAGAACGAAGCAAGATTGTAACCTTTTATACCGCCAATTAACTGTGCTCTCACTTTATATACAAAAGCAACAACAACAACACACACAAGCAACTGTTTTAGAGCTGTAAGCGTTACACTCTCAGTGAAAACTCTTCTAATTCATTTTACGTTACATTTTTGTAACGCTTTCAGCTCTACAGCTACGCCGCAGATCTGTAAAGTTAAATTAACAGTGCAGCTATAGGTTCTGTTACTGTTAACGATATAACGCTTTCAGCTCTACAGCTCCAATAAGGCGACAATGCAGTTAAGCCTAACTAACAGCGCTACATATATGTTAATATGTAGTGTGCATTCGTTCTGCTACTGTTAAGGATAATACGTTTTCAGCTCTACAGCTGCAGCTAAGCGTTAGTGCTGTAAAACAAACTAACCGTGCTACTTATACATACATATGTATGCAAGTAGTAGCGTGCATTCCTGGTGTTACAGTTAACAGTCATACTTAAAACACTTAACAGTAGCAGCGTTGCAAAACAGAAACTTGTAAAGCATTGCATTTGCTTATACTCTACAGTCCTGCTGCGTTTGTGTGTGTGAATTTTATGACATATACATACATACTTATATACACATATTTACTATATATACATAAATATGTAGTTGGAATGCCGCCATTTGTGATTAGTTTTGGGCGCAGCAAAAAATAAAAACATAAAATTACATTTTGAAAGCGCAATCTAAATGCAAAAGTCGTTTCATAAAACAAAAAAAAAATCAAGCAAGAACACCACCAGAAATCGAAATCATAAAATTATAAACCATACATACATATATACATACATACATACGTGTAAGGGAACTGTTGTTGGCATCGCATGCTAAAAAAAAATAAATAAAAAGAAGACACTTTTTTGATTGTTAGGCCTATAAATGTTACTAATTACTAAAGTAAATAAAAAACACACTCTTTGGCAACAGCATCTGTTGTTGTTGCTTGCATTCTGTCGGCACAAGTTGAACAAAAATCGCGAATGAAAAAAGTGCACACTCGCCAGCTGATAGTGCAGAAATCATTTTAATTGTAGTTTATATTTTTGATAAATGGTTATTAAGATAAACGAAATCAAAGCAAAAGCAAATTTAATTGTGTGGTCAAAAAAAGTCAAAGGGGACGGTGCATTGTTGAGCGTATTTGTATGGCATATAAATTTTGTATAAGAAGACGAAATGAATGAAAATAAAAATTTGAAAAGCAGCAGCGAAATGAAGAAATGAAATTCAAACTGGCTTCGTAGAAGTGTTTTTAAGTATTACTAGGCTACATAACTATATATATATACATATATATATATATGTATATACATACATCTATATATACATCATTATATATAGATAGAGGCATACACGAACATTTAACATCCTACGCATTATGTAAACCCTAACAATTTTCCCATATCCGTCAGCAAAATCATGAGCAAAATTACAATAATAATTCATATACATATACACATACATATATATAAATAAATACATATTTATATAGACAGTGTTAAATTTGATGTTAGAGACAAGAAAAATGAAAAACAAAAGCAAAACAAAAAACTTCAATATACATATAAATATATGCTATATTTTTAAAACTTACTATTAATTATGTGCATGCTTGGGTAGTGTACGAGCTCATGTGTCTGTTTGTATGTATTGAATGTTTTAAAGAGTAGCATTAACTAAAACTATCTAAAAACTACATACATTATAATAATATTTATAATAATATTTAATGAGTAAGCATTGTTGTTGTCGCCAATTTTTTGTCCTAATGTATAAGCAGCGAAGAATTCAAACACAACCCGCATTCTAAAAGACTCTAAAAATGCTATAAAAAAAAAAAAAATGAAAAAATATTTATTTTCTGCTACTTGACTTGACTTTAATATTGACTTGCGCTATGTGCACAGCGTAGCGTTGCAGACTTACGACAAAACAATAGGAACTCTGCGTAATTACAGATAGTGTTGTCGTATGTCCTAATGCGTGCAGTTTGTAACATGCGACAAGTCAATGTGGACAACCTTCGAGCTGTCCGAATCTTTTCATGAACACAATTATTGCTATTTTTCTGATATTTTCATCAAACAACATAATACATACATACATATATGGCATATTAACAACTTATTGATAAAAAAAAAACAATTAACTATGACTGATTTTTTACACAAAAACATTTACACATATAAATAAATAAACAAATAAATAAATATATATATATACAAATGTTACTACTATATGGTAATATATACAAAGTAGGCTTACTTCTAAATGTAATTTATATATGTATATGTGTGTAAAAAATTAGTTGTGAGCTAAACATTTAGTTTTTTGTATAATTTGTAACTCAACAACAAAATCTTAGACTGCTTCGAAAACGTAAACGTGAAACTCAACAAAACCAAATTGAAATCACAATTTTAAAACTATACTTAAATGTTATACAAAAACAAAAAACAAACATTTGCGTTTTTGTTTCGTATCTTTTTGTAAAAATGCTGGAGAAACGCGACTCGTTTAGGGAATTTTGCAATGTTTTCCATAAAGCCTCATCTATAATGTTTTTGATTTTAGGCCCTGCACTTGTTTAAATGAGAAACTGACTAACTGCCTGCACTTTTAAGCTTTCAAAACTTTATCGTTGATTTGCGCGCAAAATAGAATAATAACAACAACAAAACAAGAACCAAACTTCAAAATATTTTCTAGCTGCTTTGTATTTTTAAGAAATATAAAATGAAAAAAATTATAAAAAAAACAACAAAAAAAGAAAATTTATAATAATTAATTGTAATTGTATTACATTACAGAAACTAGCAGCAAAAAAAAATAAGTATTTATACGCATATAACTGTTTGTTGTTAGCCGCTTATACTTCCTATTGAAGACTACCAATACATTCATATCCGAGCATTTGTAGTTTGTATTTTAAACTATTTACACGCATATTTAAGTACTTGAGTGGCAAAAGTTGAAACTATCACAAAGTATAGGCATATAATGACAATTATTTAAACTCAAGTTTCCAACATTTTCTATGTAGTGCAGCTTACAAAAACAAAAAACAAAATAAGTAAATGAAAATGAAACTTATTAAAACAATAATTTGTATTTCTTATGTAAATCGTATTTTAATTTACAGCCTATTATTATTATTTCTTGCATTGATATGTGTGCTTATGTATTTTAGCTACGTCTATTATATTATTATATTTCTTTGTATAATTTAGTTGTTGTTTCCCATTAAAGTTGTAAGCCTTGTTTTTCAAAACTTTAAAACCACATTGTGTTTTATTTATTTACCCTGTTTATTTGCACATTCTCTTTATTTGCAGTGTCACGTAAATTGCACAACCACTTGGCAGAAACTATGCAGACACTGAAATTATTATAAACTCTTTAAAAATTACATTACAAAGTTTTTAAAATGCGCTTGCGCATTGGATTGTGCTATGTGTCTGTGCACGCAGCTGCACATACAGCAAAACAATGTGTGCACTCTTAGACCGCAATTTCCAACACTATACATACGTGCATACAAGCGGTAAATCAGTGTGAGACGCGCTTGCGCATCGAATTGTTCTGTGTGTCTGGGCGTAACAGCAAGACATGCAGCAAGCCAACGTGCACACTGGCCATATTTAGTTGGCAACACTGCAGTGCTGCCCTCTTCAGCTGCATATTAACGGTAACTTGGCAGCATATTGAACCGCATTTTTATAATCATTCCATTAATTGTTAATTTCATACACTTTTATATTACTTTTGAAGATTTTTTATATCAAATAATCATCCATATTGTATATTTACTTTATACAATTAATTTAAATCAATTTCGGGACTCAAAAATAATGCAAATTAACACATGTTAGTGTAAATGAGTCTCTACGGTCGAACCGCACACAAACACACACACACACACTCATATATACACACACATACACAGCCAGCTAGCAATTTGCTTGGCTTTAGTTTACGTAAACCATACGAAAGGTATTTTACATCTAAATGGAATCATATATGCATAAATGTTAGCGTTCATATATAAATAACATCATACATACATTGTCTAGTCATTTTTAAATATAATTTTTAAACATATTTTTATAAGCGTATTATTAAACTAACTAACAAAAAAAAAAACGAAAACAAAAACAAGCAACAACAATTGCAAATCTAATGTTAAATGTCGTTACAATTAAGTTTATGTTTTAGCTAACGTTTTAAACATTTATATCATTGATTTACCATTAAATTTTCTGCTGCAAAATCAAGTTGAATTTTAAATAAACAAAACAAATATACAGGGTGTTTCTAATACAATACTAAACACAAAAACAAAACAAAAACTACTTAACAAGTTACAAGAAATCTTAGTTAAAAGGAGAAACTCATATTTCGCTCAAATTTTGTTTTTCTATTCAAATTGAATGAAAGTTTGTTAAAGCAAAGGCAAGGATAATGGACTGATAAGCAAGAAAAAAATAATAATACATATGTATATCAAAGCGAGGGGGCAGGGGAGGGTCAAAAATGTCCCCAAGTTTGCGCAAATGGCGCGCCCCTCGCATGTTTTTTGAGGAAAATTGTTAATAAAAATTTATGTTTATAAAAACGAATGGAAAACCAAAAACAAGATATGAAAGACACGCCCACCAATGCATACTATATGCACACTGTTTCTAATATGCATATAGAGCACTACACACTTTTAACATCGGGCCCCAGAATGGTGGTCCCACTGTTTTTATTATTGGTTATAGTTTATTGTTTTTAACTGAACAACTAACTAGAAGTTGCTACGTTTATGCGAATCCGGATACATTTCATCAATATCTGGCTAGATTTTCGGGCTTCGTATAAAACTGGTAACCACATACAAACATATATCACAGCTCTTTCTGTTGTTTCGACTTAACCGGTAGACACCCTGCATATAAAAAGAACAACAACATCCAGTAATTGAAACCCCACACACACACACTCTCTCTATAAATATTTATAAGTATATGGCAATTCTCAAGAACCAGACGCATATGAAATGCATTTATTTGAACTAACATATTTTTATTATAACTTACCAAGTAGATAACACTAAAAAGTAAATACAACAAGAATTAAATCGAATACAGCTGTAATAAATGTGAACGTTATTAACTTATTATTATATATTATTACGAATATTGTATGCGTAAATTTGCAAACTAAAAACAAACATCTAAACATAGAATTCATTATTGTAATGTGTAAGAGGAAGAGGATGATGATGAAGACGAAGACGAAGACGAAGAAGAAGGAGACAAGGCAGAACACGTATGGTAAATAATATATACAAATATTTTTATACCTTAAACAATTGAAAAACGAAAAATGAGAAATGCTGCAAATGTTTTTTGAATGAAGAAACACAACTATGAATTTGATATATTGATTAACATTATACTCAAAAAAAAACCAAAAAAAAAAAAACAACCAAAAACAACAACAGCAACAACAACAACAAGAACTTGAAGCAAAAATAACAGTCTTTTTAATGCTTAGGGGCCACAATTTTCGAAGTAATTAAAAAAACAAAAATAAAAAATTATTATTATATTAAATATTGTATTAATTAACATTTTAAAAATGTTGTGTAAAAGTAATAATTAAAACCAGCAGCAACAACAGCAACAGCAACAATTGTATTGTAAGAATTTCTATTTCCATCACCACAATAAAATTATTTTGTTTTTAATAAAAGAAGAATTGCTGTTTAATTTTCGAATGGCTGCATTAATAATGCTGGCATGTTTTGATCTTAAAATTGCCTTTTCAGCAGCCCTAATAAAAGTCGAAGTGAGCGGTACAAATTCTTCACCACTCTGTATTAAGCCCCGTCTTAGGAATCATATAGAGTGGTAGTTGTAACAATCATTCGTATGGCAACTTTGAAACTGATAGAAAACTCAGATACAGTACTATCTAAAAAATAAGGCTATATGAAGTATGTGGTTTATAATAAACTTGCTCTGCACATGGATAAGACAAACTTGCATACCAAGTTTGGTGTAAGGACACCAAACTAATCTGTGTTCATACGGACGAACTTATCTTTATCGATCCATCCGGCATGTTGATCATGCTCCTGCCTGTTACAAACATCTGGTGTTTAGACCTTAACCTTTCAATTTGAGGTATTAATTTTATATCAAGTGGGCTTTCTAAAACAGAGTAGAGCTAGTTCCACAGCACTAGGTCTTTGGGAATAAGTGTTGTCAGAAGAACAAATATACTTAGTATTTCAAACATTCAACGAAATTCGTTTTGGATATTTTTATTAGTGTTGCAAATGGACCTGAAACTTAGGCCATACTACGACAGTTAACTTATTGCTATACTTAACAATGTTTTACAATACAGGATACGCTGGCTGCCTTCTTTTCAGTTGGGCGATGGGGCCAGCTGGCCATCGGTCATTGTACCGAATAGTGTGTGGGTTTATCTGGAGCTCTACGGCCCCATCATGATCTTGTTGAATATTTAACGAATCGATATGATTTCTTCGCTTAACACACAACCAGTTAATTCCAAGGAGATCCAAATTGGCGATTCGCCAATGCCTAGTGTTCATTTTCTCAGAACCCATGAAATATTTTTTTGTATGGGTATAGTATTAAAGAAAGTCCACACTCCATTTTTTATAAGCAACATCTATATTTAATTTAGTTATATTTGGTAATACCATATGTGTATTAAATTAATTGTCATTTAGCAAAAGTGTTAAAAGCTACATGATAAGTATGTGTAATTGCACTTCGAAGGCACAGATACATTTTGTGAATACAGATACAGATACAGATATAGATCAGATCAGATATATGTAGAGGTACGTATATGCTAAAAGTGATAAAAACTAAAACGAGACAACAACGAACGGACCCACAACTGATCCATGGCATAGTTCCAGCTAAGCAAAGGAGCTACTAAAGCGACTCGAATCCATTTCCAACTGTCCAGATATCAGGGTCTAATGGCCGCCAATCTCGCGCAACTCACGCTTGCCGAGGGGCAAAGTGGGGCGGAAATTGTTGATGACCTTGCCGTTGAATTCATTGCAGGGACACTCCTCCTTCACGTCGTAGCAATTCAAGTTGCGCATGGCGTTGATCTGATCGTCGGAGACCTCAACGGGCGTTTTGAAAACGATCCAGATGACGGACTCAGAGCATGGGGGGGTAGTCAAGGAGCCCTCGTATGTCCAGTAGGTGTGCACTCTGGGGGGCAACAGCTTGCCGGGATCACAGCCATTGGGCAGGGTCACCCGATCGCCCTTGTGGAGGACGAAGGGCAGCAGGCTGCTGACCTTCTCCAGCTCCGGGTGATGATTGCCGACCTTCAGGAACACGCCAAGCACAGCCAGACCGTCTGGGGCGGCAGCCGCTTCGTTGAAAGTCGCATACTTGGTGGTGTTCCAGTGAACTAAATGCAGTTCACCAGCATAGGAAACGCCGTCCACAGTGTGCTCGGATCCCTTCGAATCAGTGCAACCCCAGTGGCAATGGAACTGCTCCAGTTTGTAAATCTGATCGCCCAATGGGCCACCAGTGAGCTCGGAACCAGCGCCGTTGACATCCACGCGCCAGCAGTAGCCTACAAAGAAAGCAAACTTAGTTCAGTATCTTTTTGATGTATGCGTTTTTTATGGAATCTTACCTGGATTTACCAAACTCTTGGTGTTCTCGGGTACGTACTTCCACTTGAGTGGCGATACATTTAGTTCACTGCCCTTCTTGGCGCTGGAGGTGGTTATGTTTACGGGCGATTGACGATGACCCGAGGCTTGCGGGAAATCCTTGGCCCAGTGAGCGGGTCCTGTAAGGCAAGAAAACAAATTCAAAATGTTAAAAAAAGATTTAGTATATACTATAAGTATTTTCTTAAAATCAAATTTCAAATGCCAAAATCCATTTAGGAAGTTGTTTTTCAAGCTTTTTAGGTTTCATTGGAGTATTGAAAAAGACTTCTTTCAGTGGAGAGGGAAATTAAAAATGTTCTGTTTCTCTATCTGCGTCTGATTTTCTAAACATCTTGTCAAAAAACTGCTCATCAGTGCCATAATATTTTAAAAATATTTATATATTCCAAAATTATCTTAAGCCTTTAAGTATTTTAGTTTCAGACCTAAGCCAATCCCCTTTAGAAACAAGTCACATATACAGTTAAAATGGATTTATTTCGAAATTTTTAAGATAAGCAGCATGAGCTTTGCACTTATTAGGCAAATTGCTACCTCCTTAATATCGATTGAAGCTTGTAGTTCACAATTATTGATCTTTGTGTACTAAACTTAGGATAATTAGGGTCCTGGCATATTGGACATGCAAGTAATGAGGCGGTACACAATTTTCTGTTTACCCTTCGTACACATGATTAAGCAAATTACATACTTTAACGAGTGCTCCTGCTTATTGTGAATACGAAATCAGGCGCCTTGTCGCCTTTTCTTATAGAAGACTGAAGGCAGCCAATAAAACCAATCAATCTATCATTTCATTAATGAAAAAAACGTGCCTTCTGTGGGGCTAACAGTGAGCGATAATTATTATCATTTTGGGGCCGTTATTAAAAAGCAATTTGTCATTAAACATATGTAAAAAGCACTCACAACCACAATAGCCATAACAAATACCTAAGTAGGTAAGGCAAGGTAAGGCGCCTTAGACAATGTGTCACCGACTTATTTGGGGTGCTAACACTTTTTTTAGATGTAGATAAGTTCGCTTTCGTGTTGGGTTCAAGTACGCCAGTGGTGCACGGGTACTTGAAAGAAAATTGAGTGTTGTGTGAGAATCTGAACTGATTAAGCTTCTACGTCTATGTACAGTTAATACTCGTAGATGAAAGACTAACGTAATTCTTTGGTGTATTTGAGCTGTAAAGAATTCGTTTCTTAAGATAATCGCTATTCATATCGGTAAAAAAAATGTCTTGATTCTGTTGAGGAACCTCTGTCCAACAAAAAGATTCCAAGGAGGTGCAGAAAAGTGATTTCCTTGGGCTAACCAAGTTGAGAAAATGCAGTTCCAAATTGCCAACACTCAACATTTTCTTCATTTTATCCAAATTCAAAATTTAAATATGGTTAACATGTTGAATTTTTCATTTTCATTTGTTCAATATTTTAGCTTAATTTCCTTACAGAAATATAACAGATGTACAGCACATCACTGATGTTAGCTACAGCAGCCTTTTCCATTGCATTAAACATAATGTTAGCGTGCTGTTATTTAAGAACAATTTCAATTAAAAGACCTTGAGGCAAGCCAGCAGCTCAATTGACATTATGAATAATATTCAGAGCAAATGAAACATGAAACAAATATATATTAAAACATTCACAGAGCAGTTATTTATTATAAATGTATTCTATTTGTGTTTAGACAGCCGTATCTGCTTAGATGTGCTTCTGTTTGTTGCCTTTTGGGGGTTTAATTACCGCCGGTAGCAGCAGCAGTACAAATAAGTACATGATCAGCAAATATTGACAAAACAACATGCGTCACGTGCAAGTAAAATCACTCAGAGTGGGAGTCATGTGATATGCCGCAGATTCAAGATTGCAGACTGTCAGATAAATAGCTGCGGAAACAACCGCAAGGGGTAGGGGGTGAAACAAAAAATTAAAAAAAAAGAAACAATTTGAAGTTAAGTTATGCACCTAACCCTAGTAGATGACGTCAGCCAGGCCCAAAGAGCCTTATCTAAAGACACAAATCAAATGACACATGATAAATCATTTTGGCCAACGATAACTACGTGTCTTTAATTATAACGATTGATTTTTAAATTTCTAGTCAAATGTTGATAAAGAAAATGCATTTATCATAAGTCGAACGATTTTTCAGACCGTATCTTAAGCTGCCACTGTTACGCGGCTGATATAAAATGCAAAAACAAATTGGCCAACACAAAAAACTTTAAATTAACACTAGTTAAGCTCAGAGCGTAAGGCTTCAATTTGCCAAAGTCCCTTTTACGGCCCCACATCTCACACCCCACCCCTCAACTCTTTCAACTAGACCATTTTCAGCGGCGTGTGCAAGTAATTTGGACATGTGATAATGACACACTGGCTGCGCAGCCGACAAAGAAATGAAGCAACGAATGAAAAAAGAGTAGAACGCAAAGCAAGACCAACACATTCAACATCAGTGTGTACACATGCCGCATTTTTATCACGTACTCATTTATTGCGCCGTATTTGGCATGCCAAAGAAAATGTCGCGGCAGCGCACGATCCTTTTTACGATCGCCCCTTGCCAGTCCGAATTTCCGCTCACCAGTATTTAAATGATAATTTAACAGCTAATTTATATGCACTTTAACTTGAAACGAACAATGCCAACGACATCAGTTTATTTTCTTTTCGCTAATTTCTTTTGTATGTGTTTTTAAAGGTCTGAGACTTGTCGCTTTATGCAGCTTTTTTGAGAGTCAACATCACAATAAAAGTAAATAATAACAATATATGTGCATATGTACATTTGTAAGTATGTAAGCAAATAAGGAAATGCAACACTTGAGCAAAGAAACTCTGATAAAAAACTTGGGAGCCGGGCATGCCAAATGCGCATCATTTCGGCGTAAAACCACAATTAAAATGGCGAAGTTTTTATTTGCAGCGAGCATATTAATTAATTTCTTTTCACATCTACTCAAATCAGTAATCAGTAATCTTTATACGTAGAAATGCAGCTTGCAACGTTTATTCCCAATATGGCAGATAAGCAATGAATAGAATCCTAAAACAGCTAGACAATTAACAAATGTAGTCGATTCATAAAAAATAAATTTAAAAATTATGGGTTTGCTGAATAAAAACGATGTATGTATATACAAGTATGTATGCTAAAAGACTAAAGGTTAATAGTCAAAATTAGTTTTCATAAATGTAGGAAAATAAAAATTTGAAAATCCGATTTTTAGGCTATTAAAACAGAATAAGATGGAAAAAAAAATGGATATTGATAAGTCCAGGGAATATTGATTCAAATAAAACTTAGATTGCTGGTCTTGCTTTCATCGATTCTCGATGTGTATTTTACGTTTAATTGCGTCAATTATTTAATGAGACAAATTACTGTTTCAAATTGAATATATAAGTTATCATTTTCTATTGACAGAATTTCAAATATTTATAAATTATACAATAATTTCATTATAATAGAATCAGAAGTCTTTACATTATATTAATCCATAATATGTAATAATTGTAACGTTTATCTGTATTTATAAAAAACGATTTAGCAACTATTTTAATCGACGTTTAAAAATATTAAAAAGTGTATTAAAATAATGAATGTATAATTTAAAGAGATCAAAATCTCGAGAAGAAAGATGCATTATAGTGATTAATTATTTTGATTTGAAATAGATGGAAGGTCCTGCTTAGGATACAAAATCATCTATCAGCAATTCCAATTCCGTCACCTTCAGGTAACTGAAACATACTAGTTAATTGCTATTTTAAATTTCCCCATTTTTTTACTTTCTCTATACCCTTATGCTTCAAAATTAAAAGTTTGAAAAATGTAATTTAACGAACAAGACTTTAATAAACCAAATTATAAGCATAGACAATTTTGTAAAGCGTGTGTATATTCCCATAGGCACTAAAAATATTGCTATTTAATTACGTATAAAGTTTGATCCATTTATTTACGACTTAGTCAATTGAAATTTACTTTATTTTATCACACACAAATTCGTTTAGAAAAATTGAATAACGTTGCTCTACAATTGAGAGCAAAAGGCATAAAATAATTGCTGTAATTAATTTGTGCGATAAAAATCCAAAAGCGCGCTTAATTGATTGCATTTAAATTTCCGTATATACTCATACCTAACTTTTTTCTTTGTATATAGCAGTCATTGTTTATGTATTAAAATAAACAGTTAGAAGTCATAAAGGCAGGCAGACAGACAGCGAGATACAACAAACATGACTGATAAATATAGAAAACAAGTTTTCATAGCCGTCCAGGGTTTTATCCGGAAATCCGAATACTGTTACAGTAGTAGAACTTTTTGACTCAAATACTATACTTATTTATACAGCAGTTCAGTTCAGATAAAGAGAATGTCTCTCAAAATTTTTTTAGTCAAATTCATAGTTGCGGTTTTTTTCCATTTCGCAATTAACTCGGATGTGAGGGGAAAACGTAAAAAGCGATTTTAATTTTTGAGAGGCTATAAAAAATGCGCGTTACGAACAAAACAAAACTCTTACGGGCTTACGAAATTGGCGTTGACGCTGACGTTCTAAGCGCGGCTTGCATGACAAAGTATCTTACAGATACAATTGCTGGATAAGAGTATATACATATATATATGTTGAGTTGTTGCCACGTCATGAAGTTGTGAGTGTTTGCGTGTGTCATCTGATGAAATGATCGAGCAAAGTGCAAAGCGAAGGAGCTTCGCATGCTAATTGGAATAGTGGAGGTGGAAGTCAGGCGGTACGGATACACTTGATTGGTCTCAACACCACTTAGAATGGGGGGAATTACTTTTACCGTTTTATTTATAAATTCTCTGGCCTTTTACTAACACTTTATGAGCACAATTAGGCAGAGCCTATAAATAGCTACCCGTTTTACGAGCTGCATTCTTACATAATAAAATACCGCCAATACCAAAACCAGCACCATAATCACCTCCCTCAAGTGGGAGACAAGTCCAGTAGACCAAAACAAATGAAAGGAAGCCCCAGAAGTGCCCTAAGCTTTGTCATGGCCTTCGGCCATTTATCGAATGGACAGCGGTCAGGTCTTCGGTTCGTTCAAAGTTCAATACACGCCAATATAATATTT